GGTCGCCGCTCTGAGGCTTTACGATAGCCTGACCTGGTCGCCGCTCTGAGGCTTTACGATAGCCTGACCTGGTCGCTGCTCTGAAGCTTTACGATAGCCTGACCTGGTCGCCGCTCTGAGATCAAATATTGAAACGTCAAATATTTTAGAATAAACGACAGTAGATGGAATATATATATTTTGTGAGGGTGTGTGTTGTGTGTGTGTGTGAATGTGTAACGGGTGTGTGTGAGGGTGCGTGTGTGTACCCGCCTGGCTGTGCTTGCGAGGGGTTGAGCTCTGGCTCTTTGGGCCCGCCTCTCCACTGTGTGTGTGTGTGTGTGTGTGTGTGTGTGTGTGTGTGTGTGTGTGTGTGTGTGTGTACGGCTAGAGAAGGTCCAGTTTGTCACAGGTTATAGTGGCGGGCCGCCTCTGATACCGCTGGCACCCTCCCTCAGTATAAAGGAAATACATGGATGTGGGATTGTATTTCCTTGTATACCCCCCTCCCCCTTCCCTCACTACCTCCCTTCTCCCCCCCCCCTTCTTCATCCCCCTCACCACCTCCCTCCTCACCCCCCCCCCCCCCATCCCCGGCCAAGACTGAATAAGTGACATACTATATGATGCAAGCCAAAAATGGTGGATTTTTATTTTTCCTGGGTGTGGCCAGACAGTGCCTGGGTCACTGCGGTGTGGCCAGACAGTGCCTGGGTCACTGCGGTGTGGCCAGACAGTGCCTGGGTCACCACAGTGTGGCAAGACAGTGCCTATGGCACCACAGTGTGGCCAGACAGTGCCTGGGTCACTGCGGTGTGGCCAGACAGTGCCTGGGTCACTGCGGTGTTGCCAGACAGTGCCTGGGTCACTGCGGTGTGGCCAGACAGTGCCTGGGTCACTGCGGTGTGGCCAGACAGTGCCTGGGTCACTGCGTGTGGCCAGACAGTGCCTGGGTCACTGCGGTGTGGCCAGACAGTGCCTGGGTCACTGCGGTGTGGCCAGACAGTGCCTGGGTCACTGCGGTGTGGCCAGACAGTGCCTGGGTCACTGCGGTGTGGCCAGACAGTGCCTGGGTCACTGCGGTGTGGCCAGACAGTGCCTGGGTCACTGCGGTGTGGCCAGACAGTGCCTGGGTCACTGCGGTGTGGCCAGACAGTGCCTGGGTCACTGCGGTGTGGCCAGACAGTGCCTGGGTCACTGCGGTGTGGCCAGACAGTGCCTGGGTCACTATGGTGTGGCCAGACAGTGCCTGGGTCACCACAGTGTGGCCAGACAGTGCCTGGGTCACCACAGTGTGGCCAGACAGTGCCTGGGTCACCACAGTGTGGCCAGACAGTGCCTGGGTCACCACAGTGTGGCCAGACAGTGCCTGGGTCACCACAGTGTGGCCAGACAGTGCCTGGGTCACCACAGTGTGGCCAGACAGTGCCTGGGTCACCACAGTGTGGCCAGACAGTGCCTGGGTCACCACAGTGTGGCCAGACAGTGCCTGGGTCACCACAGTGTGGCCAGACAGTGCCTGGGTCACCACAGTGTGGCCAGACAGTGCCTGGGTCACCACAGTGTGGCCAGACAGTGCCTGGGTCACCACAGTGTGGCCAGACAGTGCCTGGGTCACCACAGTGTGGCCAGACAGTGCCTGGGTCACCACAGTGTGGCCAGACAGTGCCTGGGTCACCACAGTGTGGCCAGACAGTGCCTGGGTCACCACAGTGTGGCCAGACAGTGCCTGGGTCACCACAGTGTGGCCAGACAGTGCCTGGGTCACCACAGTGTGGCCAGACAGTGCCTGGGTCACCACAATGTGGCCAGACAGTGCCTGGGTCACCACAGTGTGGCCAGACAGTGCCTGGGTCACTACAGTGTGGCCAGACAGTGCCTGGGTCACCACAGTGTGGCCAGACAGAGCCTGGGTCACCACAGTGTGGCCACCACAGAGCCAGCCTCACCACACAACACAGGACAACACAGCAGCAGCCGGGCTATAGTACCCAGACATCCCCCTGGTGACAATTTGCATTTTAAACCACTCCATTACAAAGCCTTTGACTGATAATTGTACAATGAGTGAGGGCGTGGCGCCCCCCCCCGGGGGGCCCTAATGCTCTCGTATTATACATTTATAGATTTTTTGGGTAAGGTGCCGTCAACAGTGGTCGTGTATGTATATATGTATGTATATATGAATGAGTTTATGTATGTATCTGTTTATGTATGTATGTATCTGTTTATGTATGTATGTATGTATGTATGTATGTATGTATGTATGTATGTATGTATGTATGTATGCTTCTAAGCTTATATTATTCATGTTCGTAAGTAAACAGTTTATTATATAAAAAGTGTTTTCTAACAAAAATAATTTAAAAATTAAACGGCTAACATAAATCAATGTCTATGACAAAAATTTAGAAATAAAAATAAAAATATTCATATAATATATATATATATATATATATATATATATATGTCGTACCTAATAGCCAGAACTCACTTCTCAGCCTACTATTCAAGGCCCGATTTGCCTAATAAGCCAAGTTTTCCTGAATTAATATATTTCCTATAATTTTTTTCTTATGAAATGATAAAGCTACCCTTTTCTCTATATATGAGGTCAATTTTTTTTTATTGGAGTTAAAATTAACGTAGATATATGACCGAACCTAACCAACCCTACCTAACCTAACCTAACCTATATTTATAGGTAAGGTTAGGTTAGGTAGCCAAAAAAA